CCATCGCTCTTAGGGTGGAGGCCATCGCTCTTAGGGTGGAGGCCATCACTCTTAGGGTGGAGGCCATCGCTCTTAGGGTGGAGGCCATCGCTCTTAGGGTGGTCGCTCTTAGGGTGGAGGCCATCGCTCTTAGGGTGGAGGCCATCGCTCTTAGGGTGGAGGCCATGGCTCTTTGTTTCCAGTTTTGTTTCGCAACACCTCTTCCGCAAAATCAACACTTGCTCCCCAGGCGCCAGGGGGCGAAGGGCAAAATGTCCAAGAGTCGTGCAGGCCTCAGGTGCGTAATGTGCGGTACGTGGGCAAAAGAACAAAACCAGTGCTTTATAAAGCAAAGAACACCGATGTACTGCAAGCCATCAGCTGGTAGAGAAACTTGATCCTCTTAGGATCTATGGATGGAACATGATGGAATCCTAATGAAAGCGAGGCGGTGGACAATTACAGCCTTTTCGGCTACATGTGCATGTCAAACGGACCAAGTGACAAATACGGAGCTCCCTAGACTGGAAAAGCTGGCGCCTAGACTTCAGACTCAACAGCGGTTTCCGCGCAGGAAGGCTCTTGGGGTGAATTCTGCAACATCCAGTCAGCTGATGTCGGCCTTCTTCGGACAAGATTGAGTGCAGGGGAGAATTGACATCCCAATTCTGTCGCACCACTGTATTTTTACACATGCTCAAAAATATGTCAGAGTTTGTTGTGGTTCTGATTCCCCAAAGCCATTTGAACTGCATTTCAGTCCAGCAATGTGTTTTGAACTCTGCTGCTGCAGTGGTCCAGCCCATCAACATACCCAATATCCTTCAGGATCCCAAGGGTGGCGCTTATCCCATCAAAAATACTGCCAGTGACACGGCCACCTATCTGTCCCATGATGAGTAACCAGAACAAGTCTAATAACATAAAATTGACAAGCCACACTGGCAGCAGCAATGACAAGTCATAATGGAACCAATCAGTGGCACAAATAAGTGAATCAATGAACAGCAATGACAGACCCCAATAACTGCCGAAATCGTGGAGACACAATTTAACAGCAATGGCCAACAATAACACGATTAAAGCCAGGACCAGCAAGAACAGCAACCACCACCACTACCACCAACAACAGCAACAACATAAACACAACATCATAACAAGGTCAAAGGGGAATGCGCCATACCCGCCCTTGAAAATCCAAGATAGAGTAGTGAAGGATTGCCTTTTTGTGGGCAAACAAAGGGTGCCCTACCAAAGTAGTACAGTAGGTAAGTGGCAATGAGGTTGCCCCAGCAAATTCTTCAGATATAAAGCACTTGAGGAAGAACTGTATGTTAATGGGAGATCTGGAGAATCGGCATCAAATGGCATCAAAAAGCCAGCGCCTACGACATAAAGCAAAAGGAACCTAATAGCGAAAGGAACCTAAAAGGAATGGCCTACTCGCTAGTAGCCATGGCTAGCCATGGCCTCCAACCTAATAGCGATGGCCTCCACCCTATAGCCCCATCCGAGGTGCCGGGGCTGATGGGAGGCCGAGGAGTGACTAGGAGTCCTGGTGGGACAGTCCGAAAAATGTGTCGGGGATGCAGCCGGATGTGTCGAGGGGATGATCAGGTTCCGCTTGAGACTTCAACAATGAATATAATATACAGATTCAGAAGATGCATGTGCAGGTGTTGAAATCCTGTGGGTGCAGCCAACCTCATCACATGGGTTTCATGGTAACCGGAAGATACCGGAGGTCTCAATGGTCCAGTTGGCCTTCACGGCAAAGAAACATCAAGCTTTCCAGTTGGCCGGGATTCATCTTGAGATCACATAAATTCTGTATGACGTAGCCAGGATTCATCTCCCCAGTCGAGCAACAAATGGAACGAAGCGACGAAGGACGTGTCCAAGGCTCCCGGCAGCAAGGACTCGTCCAGTTGGGCCTTCCGGGAGATCTCTCGCCTCTGCGAGTTGCACCGGTGGTGCCGATGTTTGGGGGGTAAACCTCACAGCAGCGAAAAAGCACTGAGTGCTCAGTCTGAGCACTGATTCCAAGTGAAACCCACAAAAAGTCAGGACAGAATGTCCATGAGTGTGGAGACATCTTGCATAGGCCGAAAAGGCACCCTTGATGTCATCTTGTTGATGACACTGTGCGTTGCCACTTTGGTACCGGCGACTTGCTTGTACAGTTTAGTTTCGGTGTGTGTGTGTGTGTCAAAAGCCAACGAAGAGCCCCACGAGTCACCAGGACATTTGGCATAAGTTCTTGCTGGGTGGGCTCCCCAGCCTAAAGGCCAGCAGCTCCTGAGACAACTTGATGTTCGGTGAGCAAACACATGAGGCGTTCTCTTGTTCGTAGTGAGGTGTTTACATCCAAGGCCTGCCTTCAATCATAACCACCCTTGTCTCGATCAGGCTACGCCGCCGGCTACGCCAGTTCCCGAACCAAAAAAGTCTTGAGCAGTCCTTGGCAGCCCAAATTGGCACTCAATCTGGAAAAACTAAACACTGTGTCGTATTACTATAGCATATGACATATGTATACATCTGGGTCAAGAGTCGAGACTCAGTCTGGGAAGATAGAAACACTGAAGGCGTTACATAATACATACATATATATATATATGTGTGTGTGTGTGTGTCCATCTGCTTGACATCAGGGCACACACCTTGCACATCCAAGCCTCAACCACTGACATTGCTCTTTGAGGGCATTCTATCTTCTTGAGAAGAGATGAAGAACTTCAGTGAACGCATCTCATTGAAATTGAGCAAACTAACTCAGAGTGCCGTGGAACCGCTGGATGGAAGCCTACTGCATCATATCTTCAAACAACTGGGTCCCTTTTTCCGGGCTGTCACATTCTCACTCATCAGATTGGTCAACCGGGAGTTCGGCCCATGCTCCAAGCCTGTTTAGAAGCCAAAAGAACCAACAGAATGCATCCTAACCCCCAAAATCTAGAAACCAAATCATTAGTGCGAGCATGTGCGAGCGCTTCTTGAAGGCGGGGGGAGCTACCAGCGTCCTGGCTAGGAGCGAACTTCTCCTAGTAGCGTGTTTACTCTCCCTTAATTGAGTAGGCGCAGAGCCCTTAAAGCAGGAGTTCCAAAAAGTTGTCTCACTGTCACCAAGACGACTTCAGTGGACCTGCACTGACCTGTTCATGCCGTCCTCGCCGGCAGCAAACATGCCGATGTTCTCCGAGAATGTGCCATCCTGGCAGCGACAGCATGGCTTGATTCCAAAGCACGGCCCGGCATGAAAATACCATGAATTAAACACGTATTACATGTGCTTGTAAAACCCAGAGAGTTTGCTTGTTCACACTTTCTCTTAGTATTGATCTCTTTTGCGAATACGTAGGAGGCTAGGGACTAGAAGGCTGTGGCTTGTGGTTTTGTTTCTCTCAATCTACTATTTTGTTTCTTTTGTTGCCTGGTGGGAACAAGTTCGACATGCTTTAGTCGGTCTACTCACAAATGGTGAGGAAGTTGGGGTATATACATACTTTGGGTCGGGCAACAAAAAACGACATGATATTCCCCGGTGGTGGCTGGGTTCCATAAGAGGCTGCTCCTGAAAAAATATAAACAAATATAGACAACTATTTATATTTTGCATGGAAACAGAACCTTCTTCAGGAAGAGATCTGGTGCTGCACCCAGGGTTCAACAATACCTCCGTGGCCAAGTCGCACTTGAAAAACTTCGTGACAACCTGCTTTTGTTTGGGGGAAAAACTATCCTGACATGAATGATGATGGATTCTTCAGATCTTCTGTTGAAACCGCCAACTGTCACGCCTCCGCCTCTTCAACCACTTCCAAGGCCTCTGGGACATATCTCACGCGGCCTGGTCCGATGGAAAATGGATCCCAGGGTGGATCCCATGCCTGGGGTATCTGCAGAACGTTCTTAAGACATCCTAGAAGTAAGTTAAGACATCTTAAGACTCAAGCTTTCTTTACATCACACCTCGTGGTGGCTCTCCCTCAACGTTACTGTAGGACATTTGACTTGCTGTTCTCACCCGGTGCAACTCTAAAGAGGAAGGGATGGGTCACATAATACATCTTTTAACTGCTTGGAGCTAGGGTTCTACACAATGACCAGTGACCATGAAGGGTCGATTTGGAACTATACATCTTTCATGTCCTTATCATCTCTGTATTTGAAACCACAAGCTCAAGAGTATGAATGAAAGCTAGGGGAGAGATGCCTGGATCATAGTGACCTCAATTCCAAGAAAATGTATCCGTGGAGTGGGCACATGTTGTGTCATTGAATCATCAAACATCACAGTGTCTTGGAGGGTCGTCATGCAATGACTGAGCTGGGAGCATAGTATATCCCTGGAGATGCCAAGATTATTAGACGTAGTGTCTGCAACTTGAAGCCCTGGGATTCTTGTTTGGATCGGTACAGGCTTACATTCCACCAAGGCTCAGGAGTAGTTCCAGCTCCAATTTTGTTTGTTTGTTGGTAGGTTTGACTCTTGTAAATCACCCAGTCGTATAAATGTATCCTCAGGGTGTGTGTGTGTGTGTGGACTTTACTATTATATATGTCCTCGTCTCCAGGTGTTCATTCCCCGAAAAGCTTTCTATCACATTACTCACCTTTTTGCTTGGCTGATTTTGCTGCCATCTAACGTTCTGTTGGCATTATGGAATGTGCCATAACAATCGAGATATGTTCCATGTTCCTTGCCAGTTGCAAACCCGTTACACTATATTAAAATGGAGTGGCCTGTCTTTCCTGCCCTCTGTTTGTAGAGACCAACACCTGTCAATTCTTGCAGTTCTGTGAGCAACAAATCATGACAATCTCCAATCATTCCATCCAAAGATCTGTTGTGTCTTACACTGTCAAATCAAACAATGTTTAACCATGTTTAACATGACACCTGCAGGATCATTTGAAGGGAAGGACCTTTCCAGCTTCTCCGAGTCTCCGAGCTTCTCTTTCCAGCTTCTCCTGGGACTCCCAACTTCTTGGTTCCGGACACTTCAACCTGGGCGTGATGCTTTCGCAGACCGTCGGACCAAATCTGAGGTGTGATGTCCAGGAACGTCCTATGGACAAGTATCATCCAAAATTAACACCTCTTCGATGGTGACTTAAGTGTTGAAACGTGAAATCCACACAGGAAAACAAAACTTTTGATACCTGCCACTGCTTCTTCAGTAGCCTTGCAGGGACGTTCTTGTCCAGTTTTCTGACAGTTTGCAACCTCATATTCAGATTTCCATCAGGGAAGAGAGGCAAAGAGCGGGCTCCGTGCATTGGAGCTATTCAAGTAGTTAAAGTTCATTTAAAAAAAACCACCTCTTCCTCGGTATTCTTTCAAGCAAATTCTATTCCCTTGAGCCACAAACCACCGAACTGTTCGTGGCATGACATAGATTCATCAGCAGGCGTCATTTCATGGCTTCCTCTCCAAAATCAGATTCACCACAATCTCTCTCCCCGCTCAAGAGCGGAAGTGCCAGCCGCTGGGAATCCTGTCATCGCAGATCCCCAAGGCAATGCAAAAGCCACGGAAGATGCTCCATGGGCTCAGGGCAAAGCTGTGCACAGCAGGAGAGTCAGGAGGACATTCGAGGGCTTCTTGGGTTAGCAATCTTGTACCCAAAGTGCCCCCGATAGTGTATGGAAATGTTTTAGTAGGTTGGTAGATCATTGGTCGTATAATCCTCACCTATGTGTGTTGTTCAGCTACTTTCTGTTTAAATGCCGCCTTTAAAGCATATCACTCTGTGGAATGTATGAAAAGTCTTTGAGTTTTCCTGACACACTTTAGCCGAGGCCGGGTGCTCATCCATAAGACTGTCGTAAATTTGCCCCTGACCAAACTTTGCCAATCTGAACATAACATAGCCATTCTTTGGCTTGAGCCGGCAAACAGGGATGTTTTGAATACTCCTCTTGTGGAAAAACAATTGCGTCGCCAGCCACCTACCACGATATCCAGTGAAGACTAACCCAGGTTGGCCCTTTTATCGCAACCAAAACTTTTTTGACCAGGCTGGAAGTACGGCCCCAAAATTGCAGCTGCAATCTTCTAGTGCCTAATTCTGATTCCTGCCACGCACGAGATCCATGACTTTGGCTTTAGGCGTACAAGACTTGGATCACCAGTATGTCGCCTTTATTGGCGTTTATAGTCCACGACAATAGGAACTTGTTCAGGGAATTTCTTTGGTAGGGAACCACATGTTTGCAGTTCTAAGATGTTGGAGATCATCTGAAGGATCTCAATCACGAAAGTTTTGGGACAGGGCTGATTGGCCGATGGAACACTGCCTGGGTGGCTACATCAGGTGCAGGGCACTTGTTTCTGCAAGTTTCTGCTATCCAGGATGAACTTTCGATGCTCTGCAGAAGCTAGCAAGAACAACCGTTAAGTTGAGTCTCTATCAGATTATCATAGTTTATCCTGGGAATTGCAGGGGCGAAACTGATCGCCACAAAAGTCCCTTGATGTAGGTTATGATGGATGTCACACATGAGTCATCATGAATCTATACTTGGGTTGTTATGCTTCTCTCTTCCATGAACCTCCACATTTGGCAAATACGTGGTGCTACAATTGCTTGACTGGACAAATGGACATCCTCCTAAATTTGACAGGGAGAGGAGTTGCATGTACCCCTCATGGCCTGCAGGGTCGCACGTTCCGTGGTCATACAATGCTTGTGAAAAAATCGGCCCTCATCCCTAATTATCTGCTTGAGCCACTGCCACAACACCACGAACAATATACAATGCAAGAGTATCAAGCATCTAGGCCCATGTACATCAACTTTTAGGCGTTGTGCCATCTACTCTGAAATGATCAAACATCAGTAATTGTACATCCTCTATGACTCTATGCCTAACATTCAGGGTACACGGGGGGTTGCCCCGACAGCAGCATGTACAGGGCTAGAAAAGCTAGCGTTTTGCAGTTGCTTTGCCTTTCGGGCCACTCAACTTATCGTCTTGGAGTTCATCAACTCCAAGACGATGACATGAACTCCAAGACGATGACTTGAGTGGAATTTCAAAACACTCAAACAAGAATAGGTCTGCTGTCCAGTCTCTCCCGATTTTTGCCTTTCGGGAGTAAACATCAATGTGGGCATCCAAAGAAAGGGATCAGCCGCGAAAAGTCCCTCAAATGCTGACTGGGGGAAGGGCACTTCAAACCGGACAAACGCAACAAAAGAACTAACGACAAACACAAACAAACCTCAAACGTGGAGCCCGCCATGTCCTCTAAGCCGAAAGTGTAACGCGAGAGTCGAGTCACGAAGCCGAAAGCAAAACGCGAATGTCGATTTACGCGAGTAGACAAAGGGGGCAAGCAGCCACCTGTCTTTTAAGCGCTGTTCGAATCCATTCTGGTCAACTCAGACCTGAAGCTTTGCTTCAACCTCCAGCTTTGCTCACATCGCCTCCTTTGCTCTGCGCACAGCTGGGGTTCGTCGACGGTTCCTTGCTTGCGACTATGTCGAGGCACTTGATGCAGTTCGCCGGGCTGCCATGTGCAAATGTGAACGAAGAGCTTCCGTAGGGCCAGCCACACATGGTCTTTTAGCAGCCTACTGGCGAAGATATAGGTTGCTTGGTGTTGCGATGAACGGTGCCAGCCTTCGAAACAACCACGTTGGGCAACAAGCCATGTGTAGCTGTCGATAGTTCAGCTCATCTTAACATAGAATCTTCCAGGTCACCTTGAGCTTTCTTGAGTTGCTCAATCTCCACTTTCAACTTGGCCGCAGTTCGAGACTGTTCATCTTCCACTTCTTCAACTTGTCCACCACAGTCCCCAGTTGTTTGCCGTCGCTTTGAAGAACCGCTCTTTGGTGAGTCGGTGGAAGTCCCCTTGTGCATATTGCCAGATCACATTCGACGTCCACCTGCCCAAGAAAGCCACCTGGGGTATTTGCCAACCGGATCTTCTTCCTGAATGCCCAGTCACCTTCGAGCCGTAGAGGTCCCTCCAACCCGCCACAATTTCTGCCTTCTTTGCCGGCGCCCCGTCCGCCTTTCTTGCAATGAAGTCTTCCTCCAACGGTAGATCTTCCAGTATACCGTCGAAGAACGGGCAGGGGTTGTCCCAGGAGCAGGTTGAGTGGCAACAGCATTGCAAAGTTCTGGTTGCCAAGAACCCCGATTGGCCCCCTTTCGAAACTGCGATGTAGA